GTAACGGGGGAGGGGCAAACTCAGGCTGAGAGACCCAAATCTGGGCAGAGAACAGAATTTCTATGACACTTTCTGCAATCACAGCCATTTCTCCTCACATGGTTCCCATTTTACACAGTCGGGTCTAATCCCATTGAACAAATTTTTTTTCAGAATCTCAGGATGGGAACATGTGACCATCTCCTGAGCACACACCCTTGTGAGTGGTTCCCAGTGACCTCCCACGGTGAGGAGCTGGAGGAGACGGGTCAGTCTCTTTGGGTGGAAGGCATTAATGCCCAACAGAGCTCGTCTCTCACCTCTGAGAGAGACGAGAAGATTGTCCTACGTTATAATTACAGATGGGCTCAACCCAACTCACTGGTCCGAACCCACCAGACCCTTGTGGGTGGGGGCATTTGCAGATTCTGGCCCCAGCTCCAGATGTCAGTTTTGCAGCTGACACCTGTCACTATAACAGGCTGAAGCAAAACCCTGGATCTGAACTTTCTGGCCTGAGCCCATCTCTAATTATAAACAGTGCGGCATTTCTACCCGAGCTGCTCTCAAGGGAGTCCATGAATTTGGGCCCTGTGGGAGTTTAGCCTGTGGCTGGGGGAGGAGACACTGAGCAGATGAGCCAGTTCTGCTGAGAAGCTGGAGCACTGCCAAGCTGAGCCCTGGGCTGCCTGAGAGGCTAGTGGAGAGCAGGAGCTCACCAAGGATCAGGCCAGTGACCTCCCAGTGGGAGCTTTAATTCCTGCAGAGGGGAGGTTCCCCCTCCCCAGTGTAACAGGAAAATTCAAACCCGTCACAGAGATCAGCTGGATTCACACAGGCCGGCTCTGGCCTGGCAGCGCCCGTGTTCCAACCTGTTATCTCAGCACAAGCCCAGATCCTGCTCCCACTGAAACACATACAAGAGCTGCTGTTGGATTCTGCAGGGACAGGATTGGCCCCTAGTTATTTCTGGGACTCCTGTTTTACTGTCGTTCTCTGACTTGTGCCCTCTCACCATGGGCCCCCTGCGACTTCCCCTCTGACGTGCCATGATAAACAGCTCTAGTTATAAGGCCACCTGCGCTGAAGAGACGCTGCTGGTGCCATGGGCTGAGTGTGGCGTTTGCTGTTTCAGAGGGAGCTTCCCCAGGGGGGTCTCAGCTGGATTATGATAACGTGGAGGAGCCTGCCTTGAACGACGTCCCCCAGACTCCAGACGGCCGAGGTGAGCAGTGAATCTGCCTCCTGGAAGCAACATCTCCCTGACAAAAAACTAAATGTGTTTCCCAGTAGGAACAATAATGGTTTATTAAGAAAACCACAAAGTTCACCCACCAGTATTGTCTACTGGCATAACACTGGGGGCGCTGACCAGGTGCATTACAAGAGCTGTGTGGAGGCCCAGGGGTAGGGAAGAGTGTGGTGCCCTAGGTCATGACAGAGGCCCATTGCGGGGACGGAAGGAGCAGTTTACTCAGGAGCTGCCCACATGGTGCTTGGCTCAGATCACTGCCCTGTGACCCTCACTGCCATGAGCACCAAGGTTACTCACTAGTTGTAAAGAGGGCACATCGAAGGAGAGACCTTTACATAGGAGCAATGTTCCCTGCCAGCTTTTCCTGACATGCAGCTATGGCAGCTTATATACATCTATGTTAGATATGCTGTGATGGGACGGGGGGGCATAGAGATTTTACACCCAAAGTCCCATTTCTGACCCTTATTAGCTGGCTCAGCTCCCAGTGGTGTCAGTGCATTGGAGACTGATGGCAGTTTATGGGTAAACCTTATCAGGAGGACGTATTGAAAAGACATTTAAAAATATTATCAAATTTAGGAAGCCAGGAACAATCTCTGGACAATTCCAAGTCATTTAGATTTGTAATTATTGTAACCAAATGCTTTGTGAAGCAATCCCTCTGGACTAGAACCCAGTCACCTCTTTCTAGAACTCCCTGTCCCCTCATCATCTGGGAGCTCTAGGATCCTCTCAACCAGCTATTGAAATGTATCAAATCAATGTGATCTGTAAAACCCCTCAATCTGAGGGTTCCAGAGGAGGGCTTGTCTTACATCCCTGAGGGTGGAAGTTAAGTCGCTGAGAGATCCCCAAGGACCAATGAGGCTGGTGCATCTGCAGCTTGTAGTTTAATTCTGTCTTCACTGTGAGTATTCTCTTAATTACTTCACCTCTTCACGTCAGATGCCCCTGCCCTGCCTGGAGATGTCCCAGGGGATGGTTATGATGATGCCAGAGAAGTGTCTGATCCTGAAGGTGACCCTGGTTTGGGGCAGAATGATGAGGAAGGCACTGGGGTGAGTGACAGGAGCAGGGATTCACAGACAGGTGAGTTTGCACTTCACAGTGTCTCTATAAAATGGGATGAGTGGAAATGTTCATTACACAGCAAAGGAACAAACCTGACCAACCCAATGCCTGTGGAAAAAAACTCTCCTTCTCTTCTTTCCCTCAAAGCAGAGGCTTCAGTGCTTGCAGTGGGGACAGGAAAAGCTGCAAGGTCCCTCAGTCTCTAGGTTCAAATCCTTGTGTGGCTGCCACACCCTGGATTACTAGATTCCCAACAGTTTTCTGTGCGTGTATCTTTTGGACAGAATCTTATAAACCAAAGTCCTGTTACTGATGTGCATTGTTAAAGAGCCCATGACACTTCCTGTAAAAGTCAGGCTTTGCCCATTATCCTTGGCCAACATCTCCCCTCCCGTCCGTTCCCCATTGTGTCATGAGCAGACACCACCAGCCACCCCAGAGGAATTGGAGTGGCAATCAAATGTTCATTACTTAGTACTTGATAAGAATAACGTGCTTATGTTTGTGATTAGCACAGAGTAAATTATACAATGCCCTTAAGTAAGAGCTACTTCCCGGTAAGTGATTGGGTTTTATACATGAAGTGACAGGTGAATACAGTACTCACTTGGCAACTGTAAATGGTCTTGAAACCAAGGATTTTACTTCCAGAATATGTACAGAGATGATGGATTAAAATTTGTCATGGACCCAATGAGAAGAATGAAGAGGGAACATTTTCCAACCCATACCAGAGAGTGCACTAACTCCACCATTGCTACGTGGCCATATATAGCCATAAAATGGATCCACTGACTATGTGTCTCTTTTTGTATTTTCAGGTTGGAATCTGCACTCGCTAGGGAATGAAGGTGTCTCTGTGACAGAGAAAGAAACCCTGTCCCTGCCTCTTGGAGACACAAGTTATGATGATGTGGGACATGGTGACTCTGGGGGATCAGTAT